CGTGGCTCGCCCGAGCAGGACGGCTCCTGCTTTGCGCGGGAAAAAATAACAATAATAATAACGAAAAGGGAATCAAAGTAAAGTGGCTGCGGCGCATGAAAGGGTTGTGCCGGCCGCCGGACGTGGCGCGTGTCGCGCGCGGGGCGCCGCGGGTGGGGTCTAGCCCTGCCTCCCCCAGCGCCCCGCCCGCAGTCCCGGCGCACCCGAGTGCCGGCCTCCGGATCGCCCCCGTGGGTGTTCTCCCCCGCCTATCCTCGTGGGGGCGCCCTCAGCTCCTGCCCTCTTTGTTCTTCACAACAATGGCCAAAGGGGCATTGGTCCCCCAAGGGCCAAGGAAGCCTCCTTCAATAGGAGTTTCCTGTCTCTTGAAGTGGGCCACCGTGGGCCTGGTTTAGGCCTGGTCCTTGCCGGGTTTGGGGGTTTTTTTGCAACGGCCCGGGGTGAAGGGATGAAAGGGACGAGGAGAAATGAGCTGAGAAACCAAAGCGCGCGTCCCTGAGTGTTGGGGGTTGGGGGGCCATGGGAGCCACGGCTCTGCAGCCCTGATTGTGAGGGCAGTTCCCTGTTACAACAGCCCCAGGGAGTGAGGTGTCAGTCCAGCCTCTGCCCAACCCAGAGGAATTCAACACTAGGGCCCAGTTCTAAGGCACGCAGACCCCAGGAGCCCCCATGGGCGATCAATCCACCGTGGCAAATGGTTTCCTCACTTTCCTCATTTGTGTTTGTTTTGAAATACAATTGTACCCTCACTGGGCTGCACAGTTGCTACTGAAACGGTTCAATAGGTGAGAGAAAAAGAAAACATGATTAAGAGCGAGCATTTATCTTCATTTATGTTGTTTCAAAACTACACGTAATTCTCCATCCGTTTTAAAACTCTTATTTTCAAACTAAATGTTAAGAGCGCCAAGATTTGGAACCGTGCTGTTGATTTTTAGAATTGCTTTAGTCCATGATGATCATATAAATAAATAAGGCACTGCCTCGTGGAAAAGTTTATCTTGAATCGCTGAATTCACGTCTTTAAAACCCCTCTTTGCTGTATCCAACTTTCCTTTTACAACATGCCCAGTTCTCCTCTTCCCTGGCTTCTCCTACCCCACCACATCTCCATTCATTTCGACATGTCCAGACTCTAGACGTTATTAATGATTTCCTCTGTTTCAAAATTCTATAAAAGAATTTATCTCCTCGGATCCAGAATGTCCCAAAGATTCTGACCGTTCTCCCTCACCATTCTGCCCTCCGTCTAGTTCCCAGGGTTTCTGAGGCGCCTTTGGTCTGCTGTTTCCCAGTGGGTGGGACACCCTGCTAGCTATTGTCTGAGACAACCACATCTGTTTTCACTGCCTCCTGCCAGCAAAGCAGGAGGTGAATCTTGTTTCAGGCAACTTTCAATGAAAGATATCTGTAACTTGTTCAGGGGAAGGGATGTGCAGAAATTCAACCAACGTTCTTAAGAATGGTTTTCATTCTTAAGAAATAATGTCCAAGTCAGATGCAATCTCTGTCAATGCTTTTGAAAAGTGTGTGTTGCACAGAGATGAACTTGTGGTTAGAGATCATTCAACAAACACCCACTGAGCGCCAATTCTTAAACACTTCTGGATGGGGAAAGAAATGAGAGAAGATATGAGAGAGTCATAGGCCCTGCTCTCACAGAGCTTACCACCCCAAGTCTGGGTTATAAAATATCAGCGCAGGTAAAACAAGGTAAAAGGTGATGTTGGCAACCTGATGGGAACACAGGTACTTTCTTCTAGCGCTGACAGGTGTGTAATTTGATACAACCTATTTGAAGGGAAGTTTGGCACTATTAATTAATAATGTGCATATTCTGTGACCCAACACTCCATTTTTTGGAATGCAACCTAAAGAAGCAGGCGTACACAAGCTCAACATGTATAAGAATGTTCATTGCAGAGTTTTGGTAGTTCTGCAATTGAAAACAGCCTCACAGCCATAAGTAGAGAATGGCTAACTGTTACATCTGTCTTCTGGAATATTAGGCAGCAGTAAAAAAGAATGAAGCAAGTCTATATATGCTGAGATGTAATAAGGTCACCAAGATACACTATTAATGAAAAGAGTAATTTGCAGATCAGTAGTTACTATATGGTACTATTGATGTAAAAACAAAATAAGCCTATAACTTTCTATAAGTAAAAATGCATGCATAAATGGACAGAAAATGTAACCTGGAGGACTTGTCAAGAAGGGCTTTAGTCATGTCATTATTCATATCCACTCATAACCATTGTTATGATATTTGAAATGCTACAAAATTAGAATTGATGTATATATTGCATGGATAACTAAATACAGCTAATAATTTAAAAACAATTAATAATGTGTAATGAAAGTCACAAATAGAATGCTACAACAAATTCTAAAGGGAAAACAGAATTTTAGACGGGAAGGGAGGGAATTGTAGTTGGCTTCATAAGGAACGTAGCAGAATTTGGATGGAGACGGGGCATGAGAACACGGCAGGTAGAAGAATGCTTGGAGCAGACACTGTGCTCTAGCTACCTTCTCCTCTTTCCTCAACATATATATGTCGACTTCCTTTAAAGGCTGAGAGGCCTGGCCTGGCCTGCCAAGGTTCAGGCTGAAGAATGAACTAACAAAACACTTTCAGTTTCTTTCACTGCTATGATCTATGAATGTCTTAAATTAGGTGTTTAGAAGGAAAAAAAACAAGCCAGTAGAGAAGAATATTAGTTCTAATATGATACAGGAAGGTGGTATTTTTTGTTTGTTTTTGTTTATTTGGTTTCGTTTTTTTGGGGGGGGTTGTTTGTTTTTTTGAGTTGGGGGTCTCACTCTGTTTCCCAGGCTGGAGTGTAGTGCCAGGATCATGGCTCATTGCAGCCTCCAACTCCTGGGCTCAGGCAGTCCTTCTGCTTCAGCCCCCTGAGTAGCTTGAACTACAGGTGAGTGCCACCACGCCTAGCTAATTTCTTAATTTTTTTTGGAGATAAGGTCTCACTATGTTTCCCAGGGTGGTCTCAACTTCTAGGCTCAAAAACAATCCTCCTGCCTCAGCCTCCCAAAGTGCTAGTATTATAGACATGAGCCACTGCCCTTGGCCAGAAGGTGATATTTTTTAAAGGAATGTAATGAAATATTGAAAAATGGGGAATTTTTTTTTCTCATGGGTGCACACTGGGGTGTCTGTTGGGAATTAGGTTGGAGGGAAAGATAAGTGTTTGAAAAGATAATTCATCTCCAAAAAAATCACAAAAGGAAACTCAAAATGCTTTTGAAACAAAATATGTATTCATTCACATTTTTAAAGAATTTTTATTAAATATCAGCTATGTACCTAACACTATACTAGGTGCCATTGGGGAGTAGGGGTGAAACATGCAACAGAGAAACAGCCCAGACCAGAGTTCTACAATCTGGAATAAGGGAGCTGCATCTAGGGCTGGTCTCACATAGAGTGTGTGCCATGGACTAGTCATTCAACAACTACTGCCCCTTCTGAGCCACACTTTTCAATGTAGCTAAAATTGGTAAAGAGGGTACTATGTGATTGATCACTCCAGTTTATTTCAGTTTAGGTTATCATTTTTTGAAATTCAATGATTCCAGCATTGCAATGATTGTGAATTCCCAAGCTGATGGAATTTAGAGAATATAGAATTAGGCTTGGGGTCAGAGTTTGGGGGGGAGGGTTCCAAAAGTGCCACGCCTGGGGAAAACAAAAGTATTTGCTGTCATGAGGGTTCAAAGTAGATTGTTGCTCCCGGATTTTCCTTGAGTAAAACTGCCATTTCCACCCTTTTACACTAGCTCCTAAGGTCAATGTGGGAAATGAATGTGACTGAGTTTTAGACCCCATGTTGTTCTACACACAACTTTAAGCACTATAGTATTGTCGTAGCTGATTTTGAAATAGAAGGACCAATAGGCAGAAATACGCCCAAGAAAATGTCAGACTGCCTTCCGTGAAAAGTTCTCTATAATGGTTTTTGTGTGGAAATAAATCATAACGTTTATTCAATGTCTACTACCTCCCCGGCAGTATTCCAAGCACCCTATATATATTAACTCATTTAATTCTGACAACAGGCCCATAGGTAGGTACCATTACTATACCAATCTCACAGAAAAGAAAAAGGAGATTAAGAACATGCCCAGAGCCACCACGCAAGGGACTCCAACCCAGGCAGCCTGACTTCACAGACCTACGTCCTTATGCTCCTGTGGTAAGAACAAGGCACTCCTAGCTTTTCAGTGATTCTCAGACTATGCTCATTTTAATATTAGTGCATGCAAATTTTGCTTTTCGAAACTCCTTGTTTATATCACCATTTTATCTGACTGTAACAAATGAAAGATAAAGAAT